GAATTCTGGGAGTTGAAGTCCATCTGTCTTAAAGTTGCCAAGGTTGAGGAACCCTGCTGTAGCTAGTCCCGCACTAAGCTATTCATGTTCCATATAGGCTGTTCTTTCCTTCGTTTCCCTGCCTTACCTGAAATTTATTCTCCGAACTGTTTTAAAATTTCTATCAATGTATATGCTCCAGTTCATGTTTTTATTTCCTTTTCAGGGAGGACTCTTACCATTTAAAAACAGTATCTTAGAATACCATAATTCAATAACAGTAAATGAAAATTCTTGTTACAAGTTTGTATATTCAGGCTTAGCATTTAATTCATTCAAAATTCATTCAAAAACGAGGTGAAAGGAGGAGAGTAATTAGAGGTTAGTCCTAATATATTTCATCAAACAACTTCCTTACTCTACACTCCCCTCTAGTGGAAAAGAAGAGAAAAATGTAAGCCTAACAATTTTCTTCCTCATGCCAATATATAATGCAGAGGTGGGCAAAGTGTGGGTCTCAGGATATTATTAGGTTGCAAACTCCATCATTCCTGGACATACTAACTGATGGGAAATGAAGTTCAACAATATCTGGAATATCTTTTCTTGATCTAGCACAAGGATTTTCAATACAATCAAGACTTGGAAATACCTTAAACAATGTTAAGTATAGGTAGTTCTTGTTTAGCAACTGCAGTTGGTTCCAGCAACTTGGCCATTAAGCAAAGTAGTCACTAAGTGAAAAATCACATGACCGCAACAGTGTATGGAGGCTGTTAGGGCTTAGCGGGGACAAAACATGCTGAAGTTGAACCCAAACTAGGTGGAGTTATTTTGTTGTTCATTGGAGTACTCAGGCAGCTCTTTTATTGTCTGTCTTTGGAGTGGCACTGCCTGTAAGAGAGCAGATCCAAGACTTGGAGGTCTTCCTGGATTCACAACTGCTGCAGGATGGGCAGGTGGAGGCAACAGCCACTAGGGCTTTTGCCCACCTCTGATTGGTGAGCAAATTGTGGCTCTACCTGGTGTGAGAGGTCCTCACTATGTCCCCATGTGGACTACTGCAATGCACTCTACATGGGCTTTGAAGATCAAATGGAAGCTATCTGTTAGTCCAGAACACAGTAACTCTGGTGTTGACTTATATGAGAGCCTTACCATTTATTAATTTTAACTTCAATTCCTTCCCTAATAATTTCTAGCAGGACTTCCTTCC